ATTTCATTTTATTGCCAAAAAATGCGTACAACATGAAATCAACTGACGTGTTTCATCGTTTTTTTCCTAAAATACTGGTTAAAAAGATATACATTTTATTCCGGACTTTTGCGCACCCCTGTATAAAATAATAGCTCATAGATTGAAAGATAGTTACCAAATGTAATAAAACAAATATAGGTGAAAGGCAACGCTACAATACAGTTCTCACGAATGCAATAAAATAAAGGTAATGAATTTGGCTCAAAATGACTCGCTAAAAGTTAAAGGAATTAAAACGAGAATAATGTGTCTGTAAGTTACAATATTTGTCATCTCCTGATGATACTAACTTGGCTAGCGAAACGCGCGGCGAGAGACACTATTTTGGTTCTCATGTAAAAAAGTGTTCTCAAAGGATTGTATAAGATGTTAATATGAACACAAAACTATGACAAATTTTCAAGCAAAGACTTCGGCTATGTTCATTCTGTATTTTTTTTGTTTTGAAACTCTTTTTCGTACAAATTCAAATAAAAAATCAATATTTATGATTTTCACAAATCTAGAGATGTACTCAAATATTAAAAAATCATTCTGAATGTATTCGACCGAATTTAGCAGGTCATGTTTCTGTTCTTGATAAAATCGTGCATAACATTTTGTACTTATTCATTGAATTGGATAATTGATTTTCTTATTCAGATTTAATTACACTGATGACTATCTCTAACTGGAAGTACTTAAACTCACCTGGAAAACATCATATATATGCAAAGTTAGTAATCAAAAATGTTAATGGTTCACTTATTTAAATTAATAATTATTTAAAGATACTCTTTACGAGTCACTTTCTGTTAATGGAATGGAAGTATATTACTTTTTTGCATATTGGCATCGAGAAATGAGTTGAGTAACCCACAGAACAATAACGTTGAAATACAGTTGTGAAATTAACCCTATTTCGAGAAGCAAGAGCTGCCACCTTAATTTCCGACTGATATTGAGCGATGGATATTCGATTTACTGTAGATTATATGGGTCTTCCAACGTAAATTGAGAAATGCTAAGGTTTTTATGGTAGATCAATTTCATGGGGGGTCTGTTTATTCCATTAAGAAATTATAACTATTTTCATGGCACTTTTAATTGAAGTGTGCCCATTCGCATTATCATACGGTTAATTGACTTTGTAACATTTTTGGAACTTAGTCAGCATACAACATGAAGGTGAAAAGTACATAAGTCAAAGGGACAATGTTTTTTCAAGGAGAAAATTTGCCTTTGCTCAATACAAGTACTACTTGTCATGTAAAAAAACCTTGCACATTGAAATTTTCCCATTATTTCCTGCAATAAATTTTAATATATTTTTTTGGAAAAAATTGCAACGTTTATTGATGTAGCAAAAATATATTCATTCTCAAAATCGACAGTATAAAATTCAAAATTACTCTTCAGAAGTCTTGAGGACATGTCTGTGAATCCTAGCAGCCTAAAATAAAACATTTCTCAAAATACATATTCTCGGCTAAAAGGTGCCTACTTAAATCTTCACTCAAATCCCAACATTTTTAGGTTCATACATATAAGATATTCTTGATTAATCAAATACAATGAAATCTGCTTAAATGTCTGAGTTATGTCAAATAAAACACGATGCGTGTCTTGTGATTGACATTTTCGTTCAGTCGCAGTGTCAACTTCAGGAACCCATGTATTTATCTTGAGTATCCCTGCCGGATGAGGTATCACCCGTAGGAGTAAGCGACCTCTTGTTCGAAAAAGATCTATGACTCTGAGCCCACTTAGTGTCATCAACGGAACCATCGAGAAACTGCGTCAAAAGCAAGAGCTTCTCAAGAGACAGATAGCAGGATATCCCATGAATCTGCTTTGCACCAAGTTCTTGACAATCGAAAGCAAAATCTGCAACAGGAGAAGAACAAACTCACTCTGACTAGGTCAACAAACAATTATCCACCCAAGCTAGAGGTGGAAAAATCCCCACATGGCTGAATCTCATGAATCGTGCCCTCATATGATAAAATTGCTGCTATGATGAAGATGTGAATATTGCCGCTTGAACGTCTCTTTAGTACGCCATTGTGACTGTCATAGAGGATATTCCATAAGATGGTCCGCAGGTACGTTTCCAGAGATGCAAATTCCGGCTAGATGACTACAGTTACATGAGATGATCAGGAGAGCATCTACTTGCTGGTGGCTACAGTTATTACTTTGCAGCCATAAAAAGCCGTCTTCTTAAAATGCATCACAAGAAACCTACTTTTCAGGCTACACATTTATGTTGCTTACACTCTGAGTCACTCTTTTGTCAGCTGATTTGAAAGATCACTTACCAATTTGAGAAAACGCTGGATTCATTTGGATGAGTTTGAATAGTTGTGAGCCACAATTAATTTTCTGGGATTGAATTGGAGGGCCGAATAGATTCACTCACTTTGGACATACATGTCTAGATACCTTCTGCATTCGGCAGCATATAATATCATTCAATCAGCTAGGAGTGATAAAAGAGTGAGAGATTGTATTGAATTCGAAATCTACAAATGTTGCGCGGTTCTAAAAATATTAATTGAATTAATCCGACGAAGAGAGATTTTTATACTCCTTGGTTACATTTTTCTGCAAAAACACATTTATATAAGCCTTGACATCATGTGGGTAGGAGAAGGTATGTTTGACTATGCAATAATACTGGTACATTCTTATTTTGTGAATTTGATCTTATCAAATATTGGACTCTGTACCTCACATTCAGCTCCTCCATTTTTAACAAAAATGGGGTGACATGTTCACCATATGGTATACATACAGCATACGAATCGCATGCAAGCATTTTGTATACGTTGTAACTTCTGCTTGTTATATTGCGACAAAAAATTGTAATACACCGAACAACAATACTCGATATGGGGGTAAATAAGAGTTTTAACTAACCTGCGTTTCATTTCTTCTGATAACTGATACTTGTATAGCGATTTAAGTTTGAAGAATGATACTTTGAAAATGTTTGTCACATGTTCATGGAAAGACAAAAAGCTATCTATGGTTACGCCAAGATTTTTAGTAGCATAGTGTATAGTTATTAAATAATACCCAATAAACAACAATAGGATAACAATGAAAAATTTGCACTTTGTGGGAATTCAGATATTGTTTGAAAACAGAAATGGAATTATTGAATTAGTTTATGCTTCATTTTTGTATCGCGAACACTATCAAATAGGCACAGGAATATTTTTACTAAAATGAGGGCGACATAAATAAAAAAACACTTGGGAAATACCCTGTGACGTAAAAAGTCCATCATGGAATCAGTCGATTAATTCGCTTTGCGTTCGGAGTAGTTACACGAAGAAAAAAAAATAAGAGAGATTTGTTCTGTGCCCTCGTTTCGTAAATAATAACAAGCGAGTCGGAGAGAAAGTCATTGACCGTAGCGGTCGCATTTTATGTATTTTACCTAACATTTCCACACAAGTTCAATGCCAAGTTTGTTATACCAAGTGGGTTATTAAATTGTTCTGCCTCAAAATATGTAAAACGAAATTGCAAATCGTACCTATGTTTCATATTTCAAAATGTTAGGAGATATATTTGTATATGTGTTGGAATTGGCCGATACTTGATAAAAATACATAATTTTTTCAAGTTACACTTTATTGTGAGATTTTCACTGGACAGTTTACAAAATCGCAACACGTGCTTCGCTAAACAATAGCTTCCTCAAGTGTTTTCATACTCTTTCATACCACATTTTGAAACTGGGGTACGGGAATACGTCAACGATCCTTTCAATCAAAAATGGATAGTTAGGGGTGGGCCTGTGGCGTGGCCACCCAAATAACCTGACTTGACCAAAATGGATTTTTTTATGGGGATATATCAAATGGATTGTTTACCAAACTCCTCCAACATCTAGAGAAGACATTGAACGAAGAATCACAGAAGCTCTCAGGGAAATACCAGATGATATGCTGGAACGTGTAGGAAAATCGTTTAAAAAAAGACTAACATTATGTGTTGCAGAAAATGATCGCCATTTTGAACATATTTTGGACTGAATTTCACTAGTTCGGACTTCCATTGTCTAATATGTAAAATGATTTTTCTCAGAAAATATTTTTTTAATATATTTTCAGGTGAAAATGAAGTGCTCACGGCCAGTTGGCCTAGTGCTAGTGACTCTTGTGACAATGACGTATTCGATGCCACCAGAGACTACATCAAGGTACATCTCCCAGGAATACCATAAGTTTTCTTCCAAAATGTTAACCGAAAACTCGTTCAATCCATTAAATTACCGACATACTTCAACCCATTTTTCAGACAAAACCACAAATGGATCGTTCAATAGTAATGAAAATCGTGAAGGAAAAAGGACAGCATTTAAAAAAGTAAAAACTAAAATACATTCTGTAGACAGTTCCTCGAAAACTAAAATAAATAGTACAGGCATTCCCAATGTCAAGCCTTCCAAAGTAAATGTATTCAAAATAGTGTCTAGTTCTTCAAATCACATAAATAGTCCAGCATCGAAAAACAAAATCAGAAATGAAGCTACGAGCAAAGCTCCATTTAAAATCAGAGTGAAGAATGTGAGTTCTCAGATTACCCCTTCATTGAAAGTAACAACACCTATGCCTGCAAAATTCGTGGCAGTTCAAACAAAAGTAACTACTCCCAAAATAAGAATCAAGCATCCTACCCACATAATAAATATTTCGAATATGGCTAAAACTACGGCTTCTCCTATCAGGAGAAAAAAACCAACTGTTCAGAAAGTCGTTACAAAATGGTCAGATACAACAGATCTCAGCAAAATTAAACAGAACTGGTATGAGGAGGGAGTGCCATACCCCAATCCCAATCCAGAAATCAGTTCCTCTTCCCCAAGCTTCTCTTTGAACGACTTGAGTTCGATATCCCCTTTAAGTTCTGATTCTGTGAATTACGTTTCCAATTTGAATCCAATGCCCGAAGTTAGTTCCCACTCACCCCCATATTTTTTAAGCGACGTGCCTGATTATTTGCCAGACATACCCTCAGTTTCAGATCTATCATCAGCAGCTCCGGAGCCAATTGACACTGTTAGCAACCCTTTAAGCGTGTTCAACTTGGATATGATTCCAGATGATACCAAATCTTCAGATGGAATCAGATCTCCTTGTCCTTCGGTTCATATATCTAGTTCAGTTTTAAATCCTCAGCAACGACAAGAGTGTTCTGACCTGAATTTGGTGATAAATTCACACATTCACCAAAACGGTAATGTAGGTGGGACGAGAAATCCAACAATTAGTACTTATGACTCTGAGGCTCCAGTTGAAGATGTCATTTCAGCAGCAGCTGAACCAATAGCTGCCGATCCAGTAGCTGCAGATCCAGGTGTAGCTAACACTGGCATTGGTGCTCCTCAAGCTGCGATTCCATCACCTGGAGCCGGTGGTTCTGGTGGATCGGGAGGTTCTGGGGGGAGTGGTGGTAGTGGTGATAATGGACCATGGAAATTTCCTGACCTGAAACACTTATTTGAAGCTATAGGTTATCTCTGGAATGGACTCGGGAACTTTTTCAGTTTTTTGAGAAATCCATACCTTTACATCATTCCCGCAGTTTTGTTTTTCCTTTTGGGTTTTTTCAAAGTTCTTGCCTTATTTCCATGGTGGATTCCTATACTACTGTTGTATTTGGGTGTGAAAAAAAATAAACCAAAACAAACCATTTCTTTTTATAAACATGTGCATAAGCCCGTTCATCATGCGGATGGATGGTTCTGGAATCATAGAACGAAAACCTGGCAGAATGTTCAGGATTTTTCACTTAAAAAGAGGCAGGACTTTGGCAGTATCGATTACGATGCTAGTGACAGCTTGTCTAAGGACCTCAGTCGTATCCATAAAATATACTCAAGTGACACTAGTCCAATTCAGACCTGGAAGGTCAGGAAAAGAACAAAGCGGTGAATAAGAAAGTTTATCATAGATTTACAATTATTATCATTTATTTATAAGTTATCCAAAACTTTGAAGAAATCTACTCGACCCTGGAACCTTCACGAATTTCATCTGGTCTCACACTTACCTAGTCAGCCGTGAAACAGTTAGATGAACAGTTGAATAAATTGAAATATATGCGCAATAGATCATTTATTGGTTCTTCCATACCATTTAACACTTTCAAATCGTCACGTAAGTGAAAACAGTACAATTTATCAGTTTGTTGAGATTGTCTGTTATACACTTCTAGTCAGTTATTTACGACGAATGGTTTTGGTTACATGTATGTGAAAGTATTATAGTATTTTGATAAGAATCAATATCGATAAGTTTTGAGTATGAAAATGTCTGAAAAATGAGACGAAGTATCTTGGTTATAACCAAAAAATGGGTTAATTAATGAATAACCCTATTTATCAAAACGTTAATTTATTTATTGAGTTATTTATTCATTAATTTTGCTGAATTGTTGAATTTTACTCCAAAAATAAAAAAATTCAAATTGATTTGTTAGTTTTATTACGTCAATTCAATCTTAAACATTGTATTTTTTGATTCATTCTAGATCGTCACCTTTCCGAGAAAACCAGAAAATCACTAAGAATGATATTTTGGATGTCAATACGACATCTTTAAATATACTGGATGTCAGAACTCCACCGAAAATTAGACAACAGCTCCAGAATAAATTGAAACAGAAAGAAGAAATTGAAAATTCACATGCTGGTGTTGCAATTCCCGTAGATGAGACTGCAGTAAAGTTAGAAGAAACTACAAAAAAAATGAATTTCTATAAAATTGAGAGACCTACCACCGATAGTGGTTTGTCAACTTGGATCTTAGTAAGTGGTAACACCTCCCCTCCACCAACGAAACCTCCATCGAAAAATGCCGTTGCCGGCTACAATAATGGTTATAAACCTAAAGAGAACTCAACAACAATTTTGCGGAAACCAGAAAAAATTGTTAAACCAATTTTCAGAAAACGTACTCCTATCACTACAGAGAAAACATCCAGACCTCCTCCAACTACAACAACTTCTATGCACGAGCTGCCTAAACTTACAAAAGTCAAGGCATCAGAACTGAATAAGGCGGTGAATAAGAAAAATAATACTGCAGGTGTAATGAAGAAACCTACAACGGTATCAAATTCAACAAAAAAGTCAACATCAACACCAAACCATCCAAAAATTTCATCAACAACAGAAGGTGTCAAGAATATTGTAAATTCCATCGCTAATTCTGACTTGAAAAATTCTACAGATCTCAGTTCTAGTTCTTTATCAGCAGAACCTAAGGAAGGAGATGCGGATTTATCTAACAGTGATGGCAAAAAGAAAAAGAATCCAAGTAAAAGGAAGAAGAACAAAAATCGCCGTCGGAAACCTGTAGAAAAAAATGGAAACAACACTAGTGTATCTAAGCCAGCAAAAGTTAAAAAAGAAAAACCGATCAGCACCCAGCTATATAATTACTTATCTAGAGAAATAATGCCTACCGTAGGAGTTGGTTTGGTAGGTTTGATGGTGACCGCAGGATTAGCAAGCTATTTTCTGTATCCATTTGGAATTGCAAGAAGGTCTTACGAGATAGACAGAAAGGATAAAGAAGGAAATTACTTCTACAGCAACGATTACTCCAATGGTATTCCTGAGGAGGAAGCTATAGGAAAAGTTATAGCAGGCATGCCATCAAATTCTGAGAGCATGGCAACAAACTCGTACTCCAACACAAGATACAGGTTAGTAGACCGCAGAGCACAAATAAAACCTCAACCTTACGAAGGTGTGGTGCAGGGTTCGGTAGAGGATGTGCCATTGACTTTCGACAGACAGGATCAGGATAACACATATAGTAGCAACTATCAGACGCTCGATTACAGTACTAATCTGGACGATAAGAAATTCGTTGTTGGAAATGTACCCGAAGAGCTCGTGAAAGAAGTCACGCCTGTTTCTGTTCCTGAACATGGGCCACGAAATTTAAATGTACTTTCTGCTGTTGAAAGTGTGAACAAAGAAGAGAAGGTCCAGGAGAGAGTTAATGAATTACGACCTGCTTTTGGACCTAGAAGTTTGAGAATAAGAAGAAAAAGAAGTGGTATATCTAATGAAATCGAAGATCTGACACCAATTGAACCAATCGATGTCACTGAAAGTGAGTTTATTCAGAAAATCGAGAAAGAAGTATCTACCACTACTGAAGGGGTAACAACTGAATCACTAATAACTACCACAGAAGTTCCATCTACAACAACTGAAGGATTTCCTCAGAAATTCGCTTCATTCCTTGATTTGATGCAAGATTTGATTCATGTGAAAGCAAGATTGAGTTTACAGATTCTTCAAAATGCCAGCCATAGTTTCTCCCGATATATTTCTAGAGCTCAGGCACGACTTGATGAACATATACGTAAGAGAGCGAAGAAAGATTGAAATTTGTGATGTTATAGGATAATTGTTGATAGGTTTAGATATTTATTAATATAGATGTAGCTTTTGAGAGACGTAGTGATGATTTTGTATACCGTTACAATCATGTTGTTTTGTGGGAGATGTTGTACAGGGTGAGCCAACGAAATGAATGAAGTATGTTCTCGTATTTGTTGAGAGACAGAAATCGACGAGACGAGTAATTTTTTCTGATCGCAAATTAGAAGAATTCGGTTTCTTTTTCCATTTGCTCACCCTCTATAATGTTTCTCGATAATGTATGTCAAACTTTATTTGAGTTAATCTTTGTTCGCTCTTTTTCAATTCGATTCAATATATCTGATATATTTCAATTTTCATACTTTCATCTCGATCTTAATCTAAAATATCATCAGTATCATCATTTTAATTGTTTTGAAAATTTGTGTACTCTCGGGATTACAAAAATGAATTTTGTAGTTGGCTTGCGGAACGAAAACCAAATGAATTTTGGACGTTGTCAACATTTTTTTGAAATTGTCGATGATTTACCTATATTCTTCAAAATTGTATTGGCTTTGCAACTGACTAACTTCGGGAGCCCCGGTTATCTTTGATATCCGAGGATTGAGTTTTCTTTGGATCACTAAGGCTTTTACTTAAGGACAGTTGAATCAAGCAGCAACTTCGTTGTTCAGCCTAGCCCCGCTGATGAGGCCTATGACGGTTAAAAACAGCGCTATAGTGTTGAATCATGAATGCGTTGAAGATGGAATCTTCGTGAGAGGAGATGTAATCGCTTTTACACACTCAGGACAGATTTACAGGACAGATTCAACCATTCGTGGTTCAACCTAGTACCACTGATGAGACCTATGGTGGATCGAAATAGTCCTGTCCGGTATTAGATTACGGATGAGTTGTTTTTTGGCTGTGATTTCAGCAGCTGCTTCTTTCAAATTCCAAAAAATTCACGATTCTTCAAAATTGCATTTCTTATAATTCATAATATCATGTCGAAAGGTATATCCGTCAATGAATATAGTGAAATAAAATAATGTGTAATTACGAGAGTACGTAGATGAGGGTTTTGGAAAATTATTGCATATTCAAATGGATTGTATGAATGACTAACTGAAATATGAGACTGTTAATAAAAGTTGGGAAATTCACATATTATAGGTCGTGTGTGCTCTCTAGTTTTCAATTTATATATGTAAAATATACTCACTATGATATATTCAAGAGTATTGCATTCCCATTCCTGTCCATCGATTCAACAGTGAAATATACTCATAGTTCTAATAAAACATTCTCTCACATCAGAATAATGTTTGCCTGGTTTCACCTACTGTTTATATATAGGTGAGTTTTCAACATACTACAATAAATTCCTTACTTATCTGAAATGGAGTTTTGTGAAGGTTTGAAGAGTTTCAAAATATTCAAGGCATTAAAAAGTTTTCAGTTTTTTTTATTTTTTAGCTCTCTTACTGGATATAGTCAATACCATTTACATATTAAATATTGAAACATTTCATTGATGGAAAATGAAACAATATAAGGAAAATTGGAATAACTTTTTACGGAAGAACTGTAATGAAATCGAAGCAGGTTAAGTCATGAATGCTACTCAATAAAAATTGATAAACCATACCTTCGATGTACGGATTCATCCTACGGTACGTGGGGTAATCGTAAACATAGTAGGTTCAAAAATCACCAAGAACATCTTGGATGAGCTGGTACCTCATATGCAGTTCTCAAGAAACCAAAAATTACTTTTGTGGTATTTTATCAAATTTTCCTTAGAAAGATTGTCATACCTTTTATCACAAATCGGGCAATTCAACACTCAATATAGAATAAACTTTTGTCTGATTTCTACTAAGTTTATTATTTGTTTCGACCGGTTTCAATTTGTTAGACCATCAGTTCCACAAGTAACTGATACATTTTGTCAAGAAAAATCCTTGAATATAAAATTATACAGTCAAGTATCGGTAATAGGTACCTGAAATAACAAATGTTACTTGAATTATCAATACCAATACCACAAAAATAACTAATTATCTTCTATAATATATCAAGATTACCAACTATTGATCCCCAAGAACCGATTTTTCCAACTACCAATGGATCCTAAACTAGGGAGAGCTGCATAGTTGATCCAATGCTTACAACAAATTCATCCCTTTTTCTTTATTGCACGTATAAGAATTTTCACTCCCGTCGGCATTTTTGATGTTTCGGGTGACCATGATCTGACTTCATCATTACTACGAGAAGCTCACAGTAAATATCTCATATGATTGTGAACCGTTTAGGAATCGATGGAAAATACGACAAGGTGATGAAATAAACATATTTTGTATAGTAAGATTATACAATTTAGGTCAAAAACTTATGCTGATCTATTCTGAAAGTTTTTCAGAATGTTGAGTTTTTGTTTTCAAATTTCTATTGTCAAATTTCAAAGTATAATAAATTCTTTCCCTTGTGAAAAGATGAAATGAATAACCCAAAGGACAATTAAATGAGTAGAACCGGCCGATACTTGATGAAAGTCCATATTTAAACTAATAAATACAGTTTATTGTATGATTTTCACTATAGAGGGTTTTACAAAAACCGCGACACGTGTTTCGCTATACAATAAATAGCTTTCTCAAGCATAAACTAAAAGTTACTTCCAAATTACAACCATTTTATACTCTAAACGATCAGGTATGAATTCATCAACTATATCAATAAATTTTTCGAAAGTACCGTAAATATACTAACTATTTTACCTGGAAATGAACAGATTCAATAATGGCGAATTATAGTGATAAATATAATATAAACATTACATGCTTCATATCGACCTCCATCAACAAATATAATTAGCTACATAAATGATATTAATAATAACTTGGAGAAACTAAACAAAAATGATTTAGACGTTTTTATGGGTGACATAAATATCAATTTACAAAATGAGGAATCTCTTGATGTGAATAATTACATAAATGTCCTCAATGAAAACGGCTTTATGTCCTATATCAATACAACAACAAGAGAAACCGAAAACTGTAAATCTACAATTGATCACATTTTTGTCAGAAAAAATAAGGAAACAACTAATATCAATGCATATGTTATTGAAACGAATATATCTGATCACTATTCAACATTCTTATCTGTATCATACAATGAAAAACAAAAAAGGGAACAAAACAAGGGAATACAAAATAGCTTTTTGGATCACACCAAGCTAAACCACCTCTTACGAAAAGAAAACTGGCAAAATATTTTTTGAATGAAGATGTTCAACATTGCTACAATTTATTCATAGATAAAATTAATGAGAATATAACGAAATGTACAAAAACTCACAACAGGGCTCATTAAATTCAATATTTTGAACTGGTTGCCCATGCAATCATATGGCACATAAATTATAGAAATGATAAGGAAATTCTGTCTCTAGATGGAAATGACTAGAGTTCTACAATCATTTGTCTCTACTCTCAAACGTTTATAGGGATTTTTTGGAACTTCCACAAGAATCTTCACTCTATTCATTTCAACATTTGTAATATTAGATAGAATCTCACTAGTAACTTCTAGATCAAACACTTTATCCATTTTTTCAATGAATGTACCCTGCCTTATTGCTGCTGATGGTATCTGATTGAAACTGGCATAAGTATTCATCGCTCTAGTTACCGAATGACTGAAAACTTGACTTGCTAATTTAACCTTCATTATTTGAAACTTAGTTGAAAATGAATGAGAATCAGCAAGTTTTGGTGCTAGTCTATAGGTATTGCTTTTCCTTATCCAAGTTGATACTCCTCAGCAGATAAGGAGTATCAAAAAAGTAAAATAAGGCAAAGAAATATGGCAGCTCTACAGTCACTTCGACATCTTTTCTGGCAAGTGTATAAAACCTAAATCTGAAATGATACCCCTAACTCCTAATCCAATTTTTAATCATTGCCTAACAGCTTCAATCATAATACTTTTTATATCCAGTATTGATGTGGATGAATTGGTAAAAAAGTATGCGACAGTAGGCTCCAAAAAAGGTTATTTGAATATACATTTGATACTTTGGTTTTGCAGAGATTTCAGTGGAAGTAATATTTTTCCTACGGATACATATTAGCCAAATGAAAAAATGTGGTTCAACAATTATTTTCCTTTGTGGATTTCCAATGGAACTCCGATTGTTTTGTCATTTTATATCATTACTTTTGAGGCATCTACTATTCGTAAAGTTTAATTTCATAAAAAAGGTCTGCATATATTTGGTCTACAACAATTTATTTTATGATTTTCGTTATATGTTCATTCCTTCAATCTTACATAATAAATACTAAAAAAACATACATTTTTTCGTCAGTTGGAAATCGAAAAAAAATTAATGCCGACATCTCCCTGCAAATTACAGCAACCCACAGTTCGACACTTGTTCATTTTAAAACTAGCCACGAATTTTTCACAAATACAAAACCACTACTTACAACGACTCATTTTGTATTAATATTCCATGTCTCAACTTGGCTCGCTTGGTAAACCTATCAGATTCAGTCGGTTGCGCAGTAGGTTCGAGGTGGGGAATCTTGACCCAAATATGGCGGAGAGTGAACTTACTTGTGTTTACTTCTATATGGTGGTAATACAGTGTCTCCCCGTAATAGATGAGTATGCATTTCCTTCCTTTCAATTGTTATAGCACCTCTTCCACTACTTCCATTGACTTTTAGTGCTGAAATCCTTGGATTTAGACTTCAGAAATACCAGTCTCGTGAATATTGTTCAGCATCAAACTGAAGTTTTGTTTTCAAGGCTCAAAATTGCTGAGATAATTTTCACTCCTGTTTTATTAAAATATGTTTTTCTCACTCATAGTAAGTGGGCATGTTTGAAAACTATCTACAGGGTGTTCCTTAAACACATGCTAATATTTAAGGAGGTAATTCTTAGACCCATTTTGAGGAAAAAACGTCTTATGGACGTATGTCCTAAACGCCTTAACTTTTGAGATACAGGGTGGCAAAGTTTTCAAAAATAATCAGTTTTTTAATAATAACGAGATAATTTTGTAGACATCTTTGGCATATTTGGTACATATGTTCCATGCCTCAAGGCGCATTTTCTGATGTACATAATAATCCTAAGGAAAATTATCACAATGGTGAGAAATGTTGATTTTTGAAAACAATATTTTGAACTGGTTGCCCATGCAATCATATGGCACATAAATTATAGAAATGATAAGGAAATTCTGTCTCTAGATGGAAATGGCTAGAGTTCTATAATCATTTATCTCTACTCTCAAACGTTTATAGGGATTTTTTGGAACTTCCACAAGAATCTTCACTCTATTCATTTCAGCATCTGTAATATTAGATAGAATCTCACTAGTAACTTCTAGACAGTAAGTTCCTCCTGTCTGTGTCAAATACTGAAGAGTAAATGTGTTTTTGACAGCTCTGGTAACTTGAACAGGAGTTGGGCAGGGTTGGCATTTCCACAAGTATTTCTCTGTTGAACAAAATAATTTTCCACACAGTCCTGATTTATATTCCTCGTCAATATGTAGAAGTGCCCTTCACTATGTCGGTTTTCTTCTCAAAGTTGCAGAAATGCCGAAATTGTTATCTGTCACCCCTCGAAGAATCTCATTTGTTCAGTCGAATTTTTTCCTTTTTTGAAATTACAGTTGATTTGCTGAGAAATATTTTCATTTCTTTAAGAAAATCAATTTGTTTTGATGTTCCGAAAAAAGGTTTATTGAAATGTTTGACATCGATTTGAATTCAAAATATCGAACACTTTATCCATTTTTTCCTTATTGCTGCTGATGGTATCTGATTGAAACTGGCATGAGTATTCATCGCTCTTGTTACCGAATGACTGAAAACTTGACTTGCTAATTTAACCTTCATCATTTGAAACTTAGTTGAAAATGAATGAGAATCAGCAAATTTGGGTGCTAGTCTATAGGTATTGCTTTTCCTTATCCAAGTTGTAAAGTTGTCAAAGATGACTCATGTTCGTTGTAAATTCATCAAATTTCAAAAAATCATCGAAAAAATGGTTTCTGCTACATTTCAGCAGATTTGTGTACCATACGTTCCTTGGGTGCGAAAGAAAAAGTTCCGTATATTCGGAACTGAATTACTCATGAAAGTCAAATTTCTCGCTTATCAAGAATAGTTTGTCGATAAAAATTTCGGAATATATTCTTCCATAGTATATCTTTCGACGTGCCCAAACAGATTTGCGTACCATACGTTTCTTGGGTGCAAAAAAAAATACTTCCATATATTCGGAACTG